AGTGCAGGCAGGAGGAGCAGTGCAGGCAGGAGGAGCAGTGCAGGCAGGGGCAGGTGAAGTGCAGGCAGGGGCGGTGCAGGCAGGAGCGATACGGGCAGGACGGGAGGCGGAGCGGGAGGAAGGCGGCGGCGCGGCCCCTCCTCCTCCTCTTCCTCTTTCTCCTCCTCCTCCTCCTCCTGCCGGGCGGGGCGGGGGTCTCCAGTGCCCGCGCTGTGCTGCCGCGTGGAGCCGAGCTGCGTGTTCCCCGATCCCGCTCCCCGCTCCCTGATCCCGATCCCCGTGCCCGAGCCGTGCCCCCGCCGCGGGCCGGCGGCGCGGGGATGGGAGCGGGGCTGTGAGCGGGGCGTGAGCCGTGGCCATGGGGAACATCTCGTCCAACATCTCCGCCTTCCAGTCCCTGCACATCGTCATGCTGGGCCTGGACTCGGCGGGGAAGACCACGGTGCTCTACCGGCTGAAGTTCAACGAGTTCGTCAACACCGTGCCCACCATCGGCTTCAACACCGAGAAGATCCGGCTGAGCAACGGGACGGCCAAGGGCATCAGCTGCCACTTCTGGGACGTGGGCGGGCAGGAGAAGCTGCGCCCGCTCTGGAAGTCCTACAGCCGCTGCACCGATGGCATCATCTACGTGGTGGACTCGGTGGACGTGGACCGGTTGGAGGAAGCCAAAACGGAGCTGCACAAGGTGACCAAGTTCGCGGAGAACCAGGGCACCCCGCTGCTCGTCATCGCCAACAAGCAGGACCTGCCCAAGTCGCTGCCGGTGGCCGAGATCGAGAAGCAGCTCGCCCTCCACGAGCTGACCCCTTCCACCACGTACCACATCCAGCCCGCCTGCGCCATCATCGGCGAGGGGCTCACGGAGGGCATGGACAAGCTCTACGAGATGATCCTCAAGCGCAGGAAGTCCCTCAAGCAGAAGAAGAAGCGGTAGAAGCCCCGCCGAGGCGGGGAGGGATGGAGGAGCAGACAAAGGAACCGAGGGGGAGACAGAACCAAAGCGATTCTTCTGGGTTTAATTGTTATTTCCCCCCCCCCTTTATTTTTTTTTTCCTCCTTCCCCAACGAACAGACAATAGTGGTGGTAACAAAGCGGCTCCCGCCAGCCGAGCCCAGATCCCGGAGCTCCGCTCTCCCACCCGCTCCTGAGGGTCTGATCCGGACTCCTTTTGGGCTGGAAACATGCAAAACCGGGGTGATCCCCCCCGCTCCACCCTCCAGGACCACCGAGCCTTTGTGTGCCGGGGGGGCCAACAGGGCAGGACCCTGTTGAAGCGCGTTCGAGAGGAGCCCGGTGCGCTTTTGGTCTCCAGTGTGTGCATTTTGGGGCGGGGGGTGTCGATACCAGCCCCCCACATGCATTTCGGGGGCAGGGGATGCTTTGGGGGGGGGGTGGGGTATATGGGTGCACCCTGGCTCGGCAAGGTCAGCGGGGAGGGGTCTCGCAGCTGCGCCCCCGATGCCCGCCCGTATCCCCACATCCTCGTATCCCTGCATCCCCGCATCCCTCCCCCGCGGTCGGCGGTGGGAAGGGGTGCTGGAAACTTGAGGGGGGTCTGGACCAGCAGAAAATGTCAGGGGGGGAGGGGGTGACGGGTAAGAGGACACCCACCCGCCCTGGCTGGTGTTCTAGGGTGCAGAGCAAGGACAGGCAGCCTTTGGGGTGGGGGGAGGAAGGATGCGGCGCGGGGGGGGGCTGAGCAGCTGCTGAGTGGTGCTGAGCTTTAAGCTCTTCGCTTATAAAAAGGGGGGGGGGGAAGCCAAAAAAAAAAAGCGCCGGGTTTTTGTTTTTTTTTTAAGGCTGCTGGAAGAGCTGGGAGGGTCGTCCTGGACCACTCCCCTCAAAGGCTGGGTTGTGTCACCTTCTGCAGCAAAGCCCCCGACCCAGCTGTGTGCTGTCCCCAGGCAGAGGGTGCTCCCGGGTGCAGGGCTGGAGGTGATCCAAGCCAGGGGTTAGTTACTGAATCCACAAAAAAAAAAAAAAAAAAAAGAAAAAAGCTGAGTTTGTGGTTCTGGTCACTGTGCTGCTCTGCAGTGGGGGCAGGAGGCCAAGTCAGGTTTTAAGAAGGGGGTCATGGCAGGGCAGGATGGACGGACAGAGGTGGCCAGAGCTTGTAAAAATCTCTGCTGGAAAGGGAAAATGACAGGGCGTGAGGAGACGTGGGGGGTGCAGCTTTGGGGAGGGGGTAGGTTTTTAACAAAGATTTAAATCTGGTTAAAAGCCCCTTGTTGCCCACGGTAGCCATATGGGCAAGCTCTGCCTGCAGAGCCACCCGGGCAGCGTCAGGCCTTGCCACCTCCTTCTGCAGGTGAACATTTTGGCACCTGGATGGGACTGGGGACCAAAATCCACTTGCTGTCTGTGTTTTAGCTCTCTGCAGGAGAAAACCAGGGTCCTGGCTTCCCACAGAGCAGAAGCAGGCAGCCCTCAGGGGCCAAATACTCTGAATTTTGAGCCAGGCAGGATTTTCTGGTGATTTTACACCAGCCTTCCCGTTTGCAAACCCCTTCCCTGAGCACCGAGGGGAAACCACTGAGCAGACAAAAGAAAAATGCCCTCCGGCTTTCGGGGAGTTGATTCTCCCCCTTGCAGGACGAGCTCAGCACCTTCCAAATAGCTCTTTTTGTTTGTTTGTTTTTGGTTTTGTGAGGAAACAAATGTTGCAGCCGAGTTGTGTTTCTTCTCTCCTTGCGGGGTTTTGAGTTCCCGACGCGAGTCCCGACTTGTGCACCGAGCGAGTGGGCTGGTCCCATCACTGCAGGTGGCTCTGTTCCCACTTCCTTGGCTTCCCCTGCTTTGTCTTCACCTCCAACACTTTGGTACTTGCCGTCGAGAGAGAGAGAGAAAAAAAGGAATTATTTATTTTTGATGCCACAGAAGCCACGTGTATTACCCCTTTTTTTTGGAGAGTGACCCATTTTAGAGGTGAAATGGAAAGCTGTGTTGACCCCCTCCCCGCTCCAGAGGGAGCAGGTTTTAGGAATGACACTTTGTGGGTTTTCCCTCCTCGCTGTTTGGTTTAGCAAACACTGGCATGGAAAGCCTGGTGGTATTTATGGAGCTCCCATATCCTGGGAGTTTGTTCTACCCAGCTGAGCATCCCCTTGGAGAAATGGCAGAGCACTGGGAGGTGCAGGTGGGACGCTGTGCTGGTGCTGTTCCCACCAGCTCTGCTTTCTGCAATAATTAAAGAGACTTTTCCAATGAGTAGCTCATGGCTTCCGTGGTATTTCTGTCCTGTTCCACAACCATACACTGATTTTTCCCCGTGTGAAGAAGACGTCACCTACGGTGGGCTACAAGAAGAGGTTCCTCAGCAGGACATCTGAGGGAAACTGTCAGGTCTTTGTTTAGGTTGTGTGTCTTCTCAAAATATGTTTCCATGACCTGGAATTTTTTTAGCAGGTCTCATTTCCCCAGGTCCCTCTGCTGTGTTCCCGTCCGTGTTGGATATCCCGCTGCCCATTGTCCATCAGTCTCTGTTCCTCCTGTCTTTTCTTTTTCTTTTTCTTTTTTTTTTAAAGAGGCAGACATAATGCTGTGAACTGAAATAAATTATTTATACAATGAAAGGGCCTGATAAAAAAAAAAAACAACAAAGTGTTCTGCTCATTTCTCAATCTCAGGGCTGCGTTTTGCAGTTGGTTCTTGTCGCGTGGTATGAAGGAGGTTCCTCCTGCTCCCCCCAGCGAGAGGAGATGTGGGATGGAGGATCCAGTGGCACGGATCTGTTGCCTGGCAGCCCTCTGGGACATGGGGGACATCCATAATTTGGTGGTTAATGAAATCTGAGCTCTTCTGCAGGTCACTTAATGTCTCTGCATCTCTGCTGCTGTCTGTGGAAGAGGAAAATGCAGTTTGGCTGGGGGGAGTTTCTTCCATCACCTCCTGTGATTTTAAATCCATGTGAAGGAGGCGATCAGGGAGTGACACAGTTTGGATTTTTGCTTGGTTGTGGCTTTTTTTAAACACGTGGCCTCAGGCAAGTGGTGTCAGTGGCAGAGGGCCAGGTCTGCAGGGGTTAAAACACCAGTTGAGAGCGGGATGCTGCAGACAGAGCTGGAGGCTCCCTCTGCTCCTGGGTGGCTGCTGACACAGGAAACCCAGGGTGACATTTCGGAGAGGAGAGACAGAGCTGGCTGGTAAAGGACTTTTTCTTCCCTTTTTTTTAAGATGATGACACGGCAGCAAGAGGGAAGTGCTGAGGCCAGTTTGTGAAAGCGTGGTGAGCCCTCAGCCTGCTGGGGCCTGGGGGGGACATCCTGGCTGCTCTGCAGGGTCAGGATGGGGGGTCTGAAGGGTGACAGGACCTTGAAATAAATGGCTGGAGCTGTGTCAGGGGAGGGTTAGGATGGATCCCAGGAAAACGTTCTTCTCCAGAGGGTGGTCAGGCACTGACCAGGTCATGGCCTCAAGGCTGCCAGAGCTCCAGGGGCGTTTGGACAACACCCTCAGGGGCATTGTTGGGATTGTTGGGGTGTCCTGGGCAGGGCCAGGAGCTGGACTTGATCCTTGTGGATCCCTCCCAACTCAGGAGCTTTTGTGATTCCATGAACCCAAAGGCTTATCCAGCGCTGCAGCTGCTGAGCTCCTGCCAAGGCTCACCCAGAAATCACTTGCAGCTGAGCTGGACCGTGACCTGTGGCATCCAAGGATGGAGCTGTGGAGTGCTCAGCTGCCCCCTGACCCTGCAGAGCCTCTGGAAGGTGCAGTTCCCCACGGGCTCCTCACACAGAGCATCACCAGCAGGCTCCTGTTCCTCTGCCACACAGTCCTGTGCTCCTGAAGATGCTCCTGACCATCACTTCCCTTCACGCCTCTGGCCCCGTTTTCCAGGCAGCAGGCAGGATGTTTCTCCTGGTTTCATGGATCTGAAAGCCCAGGAGTGGGTGCTGCAGTTCCTGCACCCTCCTTAGCATGCCGGGGACTCGTTCTCACCCATCCCACCTGCTGGGAGCTGATTTAGGAGGATTTTCCTGCTGGCATGGAGGTGTGGACACTTGTTTCGTGTCCCTACACGGGCTTAATGGGGGAACCATCCCTTTTCCTGAGATGGAGGAAGAGCAACAGCCCTCAGGGTCTGGGCCACAGCTTTGAGAGGCTGTGACTGTGTGTGTGTGTGTGTGACTGTGCAACTGGATCTACCCCCTCCCATGGACGGGAGAGGGGCTGGGATTTCTCCAGAGCCACTGGCTTGCGGGAAGGGGAGGGAGGGGTTGTGTCTTGTCAAAAGGGAAGCTCCCTGTGCTTCCAGCTGCAAGGGCAGACATCCTCCTTCGAGCAGCCTCTCCCCCTGGCTAGAGAGTGCTTTTGTCAGCAGGGGGCTTGGTGTGTTTGGGCCAGTTGTCATGAAAACATTGCACAAGTTGCTCAGTGACCTTGTGGTGCCCCGAGGCTGCTCGCTGGCCCTGGTTTGTGGGTCTGCACCACCTCCCCGAGCAGCCAAACAGCGAGTGATGCTGGAACTCTGGCCCCCAGCACGATGTCTGGGGGCTCTGGGGCATGTGGAGCCCCAGGCCAGGGGGGCAGTGCCCCAGGATGTGCCCCTGGCAGTGCCCCAGGATGTGCCCCTGCCTGGGACCGGCCGGGAGGAAGAGCAGCGAGGAAGCAGCTGGGCTGTGGCTGCATCAGCTGAGAGAGACCTGGCACTTTCCGAATGGCAGAAGAGCCAAGAAGAGGATGGACCAGGGCTGGGGTGCAGCTGGGAGCAGCAGGGGACGGAGTGAGGACAGAAATAAGCAGAGATGAGCTCCCAGCCTGTCCCCTGTTCCTCCTCTGCTGGTCCCTGACAGACCCCCCCTCTCTGAAGGCCACCAAGGGAGGGTTGCTGAGTGATCTCCAAGCGCTCCCAAGGACAAGGGAGCCTCAATCACCCCTCTGACAGCCCGTGTGTCCCACTTTTCCACGCACACAGCTTCCCTACATCTCCTTCGTGCCCAGAGCCCCTCTCTCCCAGGTTCTGCTTGGCCTCGTGGGCTCTCAGCTCCACAGGTCCTTCTGCCTTTGATTCCCCGCTTTGCCTCGTTAAGCTAAATCCTTCTGCTTTATTTCAAATGGGATTTCCTTCCCAAGCAAGGATCTTTAAAGGGATCATCTGAGCTAATGCGATCCGTAGGGCGCTGGATCCTTGGAATATGGTGTCATGCAACCACAGCTATTGCATTGCACAGCACAAGGCCCTTCTGGTCAAATTTTGGGTGGGGTGAGGATGACCATCCCTTTAAAACAGACTAGAAATGATTATCAGGAGAAGAAAAAAAACCCCACAGTGATTCAAACCTCGTTTCCATGCAGTCAGCTCCATCCCAGAGGTTTTTCAACGGGAATTGCCCCAAATCGTGTGTGGTTTTTGTGTGATCCCTTTTGTGAGTCAGGTCTGTAGGACCTTGAACACTTTGCACATGTATCATGCAAAAAAAAAAAAAAAGGTGGTGCTGGGCTAGTAGGACAAAATTGAGCCATTTTAGCACAAGCAAATTCTTCCTGAGGAAGGTTGAGAGGGAATATGGAGAGCTCAGCCTGGGAATATTTGCTCTAATAAACCATTCTGTTTGTTTCAGCTTAGTTTGTGTTTGCTTCCCTCGGATATTTGAGGGAGACTCAAGGGAGGAAAGCTACGAAAACCCAGCAGCTCTCCAGCAACTACATTAAAATACTGCTGGAAGGGGAGTTATGAGGCCTGGAAACCCCCCCAGATGTTGGTGTTGGTGCAGCCCAGGTGACCAGAAACAGTCCCATGTGCCAAATGACCCCCTCACCCTCCCTCCCTGACAGCCCTGACTAGGGACATTAACTGCTTCCAGCAATGCTGCAGCGGGATGGGAATTTGTGGGAAATGCTGCTGAACTCACAGCCAAGGGAGAAAGGGAGGCAGAGAGCATCTCACCCAGCTCCTCATCAACCCACTGCTTAAATTAGTCTTATGTATTATTATTCTTATTCATTCTTACTTATTGTTATAAATAATAAACAGTCACTCTATTTAGTATTAATATTAACAGTATCTTTATTGATTGTAATATACGAGATTATAATACATATAGTTGTTAATAAATAACAATAATTATAATAAATAAATAATATAAATAATAAAAGGGTGGGGAGGCCCTGGCACAGGTTGCCCAGAGAAGCTGTGGCTGCCCCATCCCTGACAGTGTCCAAGGCCAGGTTGGACAGGGCTTGGAGCAACCTGGGCTAGTGGAAGGTGTCCCTGCCCATGGCAGGGGGTGGGACTGGATGAGCTTTAAGGTCCTTCCCAACTCAAACCAGTCTGAGATTTTATTACTATTTTTGTTACTTAGGGCCAATGGTACCCAAATTTTGCAGCTGGAGTTGGCTACTGCCAGCTGACAAAATTTTTTGTGGTCCCTTGGGGCTGGGGCTGGAGCATTCCCAAAAAATGGTGACCAAGAAGTCAGGCACACCCAGAGCTCCTGATCCCACCTTTCAAGTCTGGATTTTGCTGCTGGAAAGAGAGGAGAACACAAAGCTGGGTCTAAATACAGGTTTTTTTAGTCTCTCCCACTGACTCCTGCCTAACTTTGATCACATCACTTGACTTGCTCCAGACTCCTTTTCCACAGGGGTAAAAGAAAATTGCCAGCATTTTTCTTACTCCCAGGGCTTAAAGATGAAATTGGGGTGGTGTGATCCCCGTGATCACCATGTGATTCTCACATCCCCAAGGGAAAGATGCTAAACCTGCAGGATTGTCCCTCACCTGGCTGGGGAAGCAGTTGAAGGTTGAGTGTGGAGGGAGACTGCTGCAGATCCAGGTCCTCCTGCTCGTGCTGTGGGCAGAGGAGCTGCACCAGGGCTGAGCTCCTCCGTTCAGCTCCAGCAGCTCCACACCAGGCTGACTTCATTTTATGAGCTCTCCAAAGCCTTCCAGCCATGTCCTCCAAGTTCTGGCTGCAAGAGGGAAGTTAACAGCCCATTGTAACCCCCTGACCCCACACCTGAGGACTCCCCTGCAGGCACAGGGGCGATGGCGCGGAGGCTCCTGTCACCACCACCGTGCCAGGCCACGGCTCCAGGGCTGGGAGCAGCTCAGGACCCTGCAGATCCACCCATATAGAGGTGAAGGACCAGGGAACAGGGAACACAGGGCAATTGTTGTGCTGGTTAATGTTTAAATAGCCCCTGGAAAGCTCCTCCTCTGCTGCTTGCACTCAAGGGGCCCCTTTCGCCTCTTAGGCAACTTCCCCGTC